TACGAAATTCCGCGAAAAGAGCGGACTGCTTTATGGCAGCAACAGCTATCCGCTGTAATTACGACAGTGAATTCCACTCTCTTAACTGTAGGGGGCTCCAAAGTCGCAAAAATACATAAGACTACACACAGTTGCTTTAACGTTTTGTCATTCTCTACAAATGTGGACTGAATAAATAATAAACACAGTCATAATTAATTCAACTGATATACTCAAATCCAACACATTTTGTCAAAACAATGTAAGATCTGTATCGCTGTGTTTAGAATGGAATAGCCTATTGCCTACTGTATACTATGCAGATATTAAGTGTTCTTTTCTGAAACAAATAGACAAAATTAAAAATAATAATATTTTATGCTTTAAAAAAAGTACAAATATCTGCCAATATGATAAGAAAAACAAATATGACTTGTTTTCACTTTGAATTTGAAAGTTTTTTTTTTTACCCCATTGGCAGATTTTTTTCTTGTTTTAAGCTTAAACTCACTTAATTTTGATACATTTTTCTGAAAACAATAATTAATATCTTACGTATCTTAATTTAAGAATATTTAGATATGTGTTCTGCAAAACAAGTCAAAATACTAAATAATAAAAAAATCATCTTCTGCAGTTTACTGCAAAAATAGTAAATAGCATGGTATGTCCTTCTGAACTGCTTAAGTAAAACTACGTAGTACTGAATAGTTCAGTAGTGAATTTCCAAATGAATCAATTAAAAGGCAAATACATCATATCAATAGGTCTAATCAACAAAAAAGTGACTCTTTTTCGACTGGCAGAATCCCTCATGAATTATGAATCAACACATTAGACCTGCATAATTCTACACATACAATCAGTTTCCTTTGACAGTAGGATGTGTTTCACACTCATTCACAGTACACTGACGCCCTCTGCAGTGCTAGTCTGGTAATGAAAGTGAACTTTTAGTTGCATAAGATTAGAAGTAAATAGCCATTACATCCAACGCCCTCATCAATACCTTAACTCATTAATAACATCTGAAAATCTTTCACAGTATCAAGAAATGGGAAATCAGCCTTTTCATGAGTAGTTCAGACTACATGAATCAGTGCTGAGATATTCTGACAAGCAAAAACATAATATAAAAAAAAATCATAAACAAAGCTTGCATAAAATCATATTTTTCATTCATTCAATTTTTCATAAAAATCATATTCAATAAAAAAATTCCTAAAGCTGAAGAGATAAGGAATACTTTGGCTTAAATAAACATTATGTCAATGACAACAGAACAATAAAGTAAAAGGAATCAATTCCCATGATCATGTGTGTTTCAGTGGCTTCATACACAAGTGTTATAAACTAACAATCAGACATTATTCACTTTGACACAACAGCCACACATAAATGAACTGTTAATAAACAAACAAACATTGGGAATATGCTCTTTTGTAATGTTCAATACAGTAATAAACAGGTGGAGTTTGGCCTCAGTCTTGAAGAGATTGAATGGCTCTTAAAAGATGAAACACTGAAAAGCCCATTTTGAGTTTTAGAAATGTTTCACATGCTATGAAAAAAAGTTAATAATTATGAAGCTTTAATTATGAAATGATTATGAAACTTTTTAACAATATTTCATAATTTGCACCCCTTTTTCCATACACCAACAAAAAAAAGGTTCTCGTTCTACTCTGTAATATAATACTAGTTTGTTCAAATCCCTTTATTTATACCAGTAACAACAGTGATTCTTGCCTTGGTAACTGATTATTCTGTATATTTATGAATGCCTTCATGATGCATTATATATATAAAGCTTCATGGAAAGTGCTACTAAACAATTTTTAAAAATTTATTCTTTGCAAACATTTACATTCAAAATTAAATGGTCTTCAACTATCAGGTTATTACTACCATTAAACATCAAAAATTCATGGTGTTCATGAAAATGAAACAGAAAAACAAGGAAAGTTTTGTCAATAATAAAGCCAGTGGCAGCAGTGAGGTATCGTAGAACACCGCAGTCATCACATTCCACACTGTTCACCATTCAAAACCTTTTCAATTTAAAGGAATTGTTTACCCAGAAATGAAAATGTACTCACCCTCAGTCCATCCAAGATGTAGAAGAGTTTGTTTTCTCATCTGAACAGATTTGGAGAAATTTACCCTTATATCACTTGCTCACCAATGGATCCTCTGCAGTGAATGGGTGCCGTCAGAATGAGAGTCCAAACAGCTGATAAAAACCACCATAATTAACAAGAAATCCACACCACTCCAGTCCATCTTTTAGTCTTGTGAATTGAAAATCTATGCATTTATGAGAAACAAATCCATCATTAAGGCGTTTTTAAATTTGAATGGTTAGAGAGCCTGACTTGTAACCCAAAGGTCGCAGGATCGAGTCTCGGTACCGGCAGGGATTGTAGGTGGAGGAATTGTTTACCCAGAAATGAAAATGTACTCACCCTCAGTCCATCCAAGATGTAGAAGAGTTTGTTTTCTCATCTGAACAGATTTGGAGAAATTTACCCTTATATCACTTGCTCACCAATGGATCCTCTGCAGTGAATGGGTGCCGTCAGAATGAGAGTCCAAACAGCTGATAAAAACCACCATAATTAACAAGAAATCCACACCACTCCAGTCCATCTTTTAGTCTTGTGAATTGAAAATCTATGCATTTATGAGAAACAAATCCATCATTAAGGCGTTTTTAAATTTGAATGGTTAGAGAGCCTGACTTGTAACCCAAAGGTCGCAGGATCGAGTCTCGGTACCGGCAGGGATTGTAGGTGGGGGGAGTGAATGTACAGCACTCTCTTCCACCTTCAATACCACAACAGAGGTGAGACCCTTGAGCAAGGCACCGAACCCCCAAATGCTACCCGGGTGGCGCAGCAATAATGGCTGCCCACAGCTGTGTGTTCACTACTCACGGTGCACTTGGATGGGTTAAATGCAAAGCACAGATTCCGAGTATGGGACACCGTGCTTGGCTACACGTAACATCACTTTACAATCACTTTACAATCCATAAAATTCAGTTTTTTAGCTCAAATACAAGTCCATCTCCTGTTGTCCTCTCACATCAAAATCCACAGACATATTTGTTTAGAGCTGTTTTGGACTGTTTTCGCTCATAAACTGTGCTTGATCTGTGCATATTTCTCTCCTGATTCAGACAAGATGACTTTTTCACTAAAGAAAATGATGGATAGAGGACTCATATTTTAACCAGAAATAACAGTTTGAAGTTAAAAATGGATTGCAAACATGCAGCTTTTCACTTTATAAGATGTTAATTGATGGAATGGAGTCATGTGGAATACTTGTGGATTATTGTGATTGTCACGAATCCGATCCATGCATTTCCATCCACTTGCCACCAGAGGTCGCCCTTCCATGATATTGATTCTCGCACCACACAGACTGTTACACATCACCCTGGACTACATTTCCCATGTTCCATTGCACTGATTACACTCACACCTGAAACCAATTACACGCTCACCTGAATGCTATTACACACACTATATAACACCTACCCTGATCCTGTTCTAGTCGCCGAGTATTGTTCTGCATTTTTCAGTCCCCAAGTGTTAGCTGCCTTACCGAGCCATTCCGTGTTTTCTGTTTTAGTCTCGTGTATTGTTTTGCGTTTATCCCTGTTTAGCGGATAGCTACCTTACCGAGCCTGTTTAAGTTTTCATAGTTTTCTTAGTCTTGCCTTGTTGGTTTTCCTGTTCTCTGATTCACGCCATGTATCTTGATTAACCCTTTGCTTGCTGTTTCTGACTCTGTTTGCCCCTGCCTGGACCTTTGCCTTCTACCTGGATTTATCTCTTGCCTTGCCTTCGATATATCTGTTTGCCATTGTCTGACCCATGCCTGTTAAAACCACGTCTCTTAATAAAAGCTTGCTTATGGATCCACATGTCTCTCGTCTCATAACAGTGATGTTTTTATCAGGGCTCGTATTCTGACGGCACCCATTCACTGCAGAGGATACATTGGTGAGAAAGTGATGTAATGCTAAATTTATCCAAATTTGTTCAATCTGATGAAACAAATTTATGTACCTCTTGGAAGACCTGAGAGTGAGTTTGAGCAAATTTTCATTTTTGGGTGAACTATTACTTTAACATTTTAACATCAGTACACTCGCTCCTGTTCCTTACAGAACTGTAGTTCATACTGTATGGTGAAGTCCATCAGGAAAAGGGAAACTTATGGAAGGCATAATTACCTGTGCAATTTCACACATCTGTTAGCAAACATGCACTAGTGACCGTTTTTATTATGGCATCAGAGTGCACTTCCACACAAGAGCTTTCAAGCACGATACATTTTTTCATGTTCAGCTGGTGATGCCAGAGGAGAAAATCACCCATTGATTTACTCTCTCAAACTGATTAGGACAAGTCCAGGATGAGAGTGTCTGTCTTGTCTTTTAAGGCCTGAGGTTTAAATCCCCATATTCGAGCAGGGAGAGTATTGCCACAGTAATTCTGGATAAACTGGATTATACACGAAGATGTTAAATACTGAAGTATTTATACAAGGACAAGATCAGATTTGAATGTGTCCATGATATAATAGCAGATGATGGATTACTTTACATCTTGACACAGAACAAGACGTTGTAGGCCATATAGTGACTTTTTGAATACTTGTTTTCTTCGCTTTAAAACTGACATTTGATTAAATGCCAGAGTTAAAATTCATACTGATGTTCCATTACGTGTTTCCATGTTGTTATAAGGCATTTTACCATTATGAATGAATTTATATTGGTTACAAGAGACCAGATTACACCTAAACTTCCTTGAATTAAAGTCCATATTGCATCCCAGTGTAACTTTCTACAGCTCTTACACCTTTTAGACAGTTTTCAAAATGCAGCAAGTGCAAAGTGGAAGAAGAAAACTGGATGTGGTAATACTGCTGGACCAGAGTGAAAACCCATATAAATGCAAACATGAATGCTTCAGGCCATTCAGCTGAGCAGAATTAGAAAATGTTTGAGGACAGACAGACAAGTCAAATTATTAGAGGATGTTTTTGGTGCATCCATCTTGGCGTTACGGCCCAGCTACAGCTCCAAAACCACCCAGTTTACATAAAGCTGAAACGATCCATGTGCAAAAACAAAACAAATGTTTAACAAAGATGAACAGACATCCCAAGATTCATCTCAATCCTGCATCGAGTCAGTTGGCACGTAGATTGAGTTTCAGTCATTGGCTTATACTGCTGTTTTTGCTTCTTGAAATGTTAAATTCTCCAAGACTGCCATTCCAGAGGGTTTCATATAATGGTCCATTGGCCATTAGTGACTCCTAAAGCTCATCGTTTTGTACCGCAGACCAAACCTCTGTGGTTTGACCCCACTCACCTCTACCCTGTCTCTTCTGCTGGCCGATTTGGCTGTTGGGTGAGTCAGTCAATGATGCTTTTAGTCCGTTTAGAGGGTGGCCAAGATCCGTGAGAATGAGATGATGACAGTGAAAGCGGTCTGGCCCACTCCGAACACCAGAGCTTCAAGAGGAGCCATGTCCTTCCCTGCCACACGGTACACACCTGCTACTGCCGCACCTGAGATAGAAGAAATCAACATCCCAAAAAATAACTAGATAGTAAAGACTGTAGACCAACATTGATGTTAGCTTGAGAGAGTCTAGTCTGAAAGTTTAAAATGGTTTAACAAACTGTAACTGTAAAGCCTGAAACAGTTTAAAGCTTAAAGTTTAAAAGATAGATAGACAGACAGACAGACAGACAGAGATAGATGCTAGAAAATTATTCTGGGTGGTTGTTAGGGTGTTGCTTTGCTATGCAGTTGGTAGGGTGTGGTGGGTTGTTGCTAGGTTGTTGTGGGTGGTTGCTACGGTGTTGCTTTGCAGTTGCTAGGGTGATCTGGGTTGATGCTAGGGTGTTGTTTTGCTATGAGGTTACTAGGGTGCTGCTATGCCGTTGGTAGGGTATTCTGGGTGGTTGCTAGGGTGTTGCTATGCAGTTGTTAGGTTGTTGTGGGGGGTTGCTAGGGTGCTGCTATACAGTTGCTAGGGTATTCTGGGTGGTTGTTAGGGTGTTGCTTTGCTATGAGTTTACTGAGTTGCTGTTATGCGGTTGGTAGGGTATTCTGGGTGGTTACTAAGGTGTTGCTATGCAGTTGCTAGGCAATTTTGGGTGGTTGTTAGGGTGTTGCTTTGCTATGTGGTTACTAGGGTGCTGCTATGCTGTTGGTCGGGTATTCTGGGTCGTTGCTAGATTTTTGCTAGGGTGTTGATATGCAGTTGCTATGCGGTTGCTATGCAGTTGCTAGGGTTTTCTTGGTGGATGCTATGCAGTGGCTATGCAATTGCTAGGGTGTTCTGTGTGATTGCTATGCTATGCCATATATAATTTGTAAAGTTTGCTAAATCTGAAATGTCAAAAACAATCAAATTAATATATAATATGGTACTCACTATGGAATTATACTTCAATTATATACAGTATACAGTAGATACTAAGGGCATTCGGCTGAGCAAAATACCAAGACTGGACAGAAACCGGGTGGTTGATAGGGCATTTCTAGGTGGTCGCTATGGCAATCGGGGTGGTGGTTGTTATTTTGTGTCTCATGTTTATTTGTTCTTTGTTCTAAGGATTTAAGAAGAAACATCTGAAGCAAAGTGGACACATAATATAATATGATACATAATATAATATATACATAATATGACACATAACCTTCAAGAGACCTTCAGGAATAAATGATAAAAATCTTCCCCTGGGAAATCACACGTCTAAAACTGAAATAGAGATGTTTTTTTATGACTGTGGCTGTTGCAAAGTCAACATTAGCTTTAAAGCCTTAAGAGCTTAAAGTCCACTTTTATTTGTAAGTACAGTTTGAATTTCTCTCTGAAGTTCAATTAAGTTGCCAAATGTTTCCCATTGAATTTATACCTAAAAAAAAAAATAGGAAAAGATTTTGTAATATGTTTGTAAATATTGACACTCAGACTAATGCAAAATTCAGCCAAGCATCTTAAAAAGATCAGTAGCAGATACCAGATAAAAAAAAAACAGTCATGATCTAGCTTCTCGTGACTTTTTTTACCTTCTCTCTGACCTTTACAATTAAGCAGGCAACTTGCTGAATACTGGAAACTGGAGTTGATACATAAATGTGGGCGGTCATATGTTAATAAACTCATAGTTGTTTCAAAAATGTTCTAGATGGACTGGGGAGATCTACATAAAACGTCAAACGTTTATTTCACATTTGCAAGAAAATTAAATACAATCAATTTAAAGCAAATATTCAAAGAGTGAATGTGCTTTCAGTGTCCTGTTTGGGTGTGAGTCTTACTAATAGAAAAAAAAAGATTTACGCAAAAGATCTCAGACTGGATAACACTTTAGCCTGGCTCAGTCATTTATGTACCTAAGCAGATATCTGAATTTTATTAAATGTTTTAGTGACATGATTCGGTGTGTTTGTCTAAAAGCCTGTTGTAGGTCAATGTACATACAAGCCGCTGTGTGTGACAGGCACTGTGTGTGTGTCTCTCTCTCTATCTTTCTCTCTCTTTGCAAAATCCATATTAATAATAAAGCAGACCTCTGGGAACGGGCACTACAGTGTGCGGCTATATATACAGTGGGTATAGAAAAGAATCACTCCCCTTTAAAATCATCAAATTTTGTTGCCTTGCAGCCTGAAATGAAGACGGACACAGTTTTTGTTTTATCCAGCTGTATTTACTCAGTGTAACTTATAACATCCAAGTGAAAGATATAACACCAACATGTCAGAAAAAAAAAACAGAATCACTGAGTTGGAAAAAGGATCACCCCCTTGTGTCAGTATTTTGTTGAACCACTTTTTGCTTTAATTACAGCATTTAGTCTGTTGGGATTTGTCTCTTTTTCTACTAACTTTGCACATCTAGACTTTTCAATATTTACCCACTCTTCTTTGCAGAACTGCTTAAGTTCAGTTCAATTTGATGGTGAGTGTTTGTGGACTGCAGTCTTCAAGTCATTCCACAGATTTTCAGTGGGGTTTAAGTCTGGACTCTGACTAGGCCATGCAAGGACATTCACCTTTTTCTCCTTCAAACACTGTGTGTCAGTTTTGCTGTGTGCTTTGGGTCATTGTGATGTTGGAAGGTAAACCTTCTTTCCATTGATAAAGTCTTTGAATTTTTTTTTTGTATCCATCTCCTGACAACTTTATCCCGGAGATCTTTTGACAGTGCCTTACCACCCATAGTTGATTGTTTGCTTCATTTGCACTACCAAAGACTGAAATGCTCCAGGAAAGCTCTTTTCATGCTGAGCTAATCAAAATGAGCACAGCTGATCACTGCTGAAAGTCGAATGGCTTTGTGTGCCATTGAGAAAGTGGTGAGCTACACCTGATTGAGTTTACAAGTCATTTTTAGGAGCAGGGTGATCCTTTTTCTAACTCACTGATTCTTTATTTGCTGGTGTTCTATCTTTCACTTGGATGATATAAGTTGCACTGAGTAAATACAGCTGGATAAAACAAAACCGTGTCTGTCATCATTTCATGCTGCAAAGCAACTATATGTGATTAATTTAAAGGGGGTTGATTATTTTCTATACCCACTGTAAATGGAGCCAAACTCCTTTAGTGCCTGACTGGAGAACAGCTAACAGCTACTTCATTGTCCTTATGCCCTTAAAACATCCATGACATATTACATTATAGTGATGCACTGAAATTTTGGCAACCAAACATATTTGTCCAAAAAAAAATTTCAGTTTCAGTCAAAAAAGTTCTGGAGGGCTGAAATCACTGACCGACACACTGAAGTTTAATTAATGCTTTAAATTAAAATTAAAATAATAAATGTCATTTTTGACACATCTCATCTCTCCCTTTTCACTCCTGGTTACAGCACAAAATAAACATGAATGAACATCAGAAGGTATGCTTAAAGAAACAGTACAACTTATTGAAATGTATCATCGCTCAATCAGTGTTTCAACCACAAAAAGATGTCAAAAACACATTATATTTACCTCAGGAAAGCCAATTAATATCTATAAACTCAGCATTTTGCTAAATATATGCACTATATTACATATGCTTTTACTTCACCTGTGGTCTTCATTACTTAATGTATGTTGGAATAAATCTGTCATAAAAAAACAAGTTTTTAATACAGCCACTGTTTAAATGTTTGTATTTTAACAATATATCATTAAAAAGCTGCATACATTTTTATATACAACTTAGTTTTATTTGAGTGCTGATTATTAAATAAATTTTATTTTCCGTTTTCAGCTAAATGAAAACTTTAATTTTGGTGCACAACTTTGGTACATTACTAATTATAATGCATTTTATTAGTCACAAAAAAATCAGTCGTATAAAAATATAATTTTCACTAAAATACTCTAAACTCCTTGGCAACTGCCTAGCAATCTCCCAGAACACACTAGCATCATGCACGAGCAAACATCACTCACTTTTACTTCAGAAAATGTAAAAATCTAGTTGGAAAATAAATATTTCTTAGCCTAACTGTGCCAGCAGAAAAAGTGTTTTCAGAATTGAGAAAACAATCTGATTGAAGATTACGGACACAAAACTGTGCATTAATGAATCATGCACAAAATGACCAGGGACATTTAATAATATCGATGTCATATTGTGTTTAAGAACATGCACACTTATTTCTAAAATCGTCCTGACCACAAAGGTTGATAAGAAAAGCAGAAGTGTGCGAATACTGACTGGTGATGGCCCCGCCGGTGAGAGAAGCCAGGAACCCCACGCTGATGAGCACCACTGTGATGAGCCGTCCTCTCTTGTGACGCTGCAGTGTCACACACATCAACAGACCCACAGCACTGTGAACGAACAGAGACGAGAATAGACACCACAGGAACACCCAGTACCACATTTCTGCAGAGACAAAACACACAGACACAGAGACAGAGACAACAAACCGGTTAGAAAGTTAGCTGGTTTCCAAAAAATGCAAATGAGCAGCATTTCTTTCAGGAAGCATATTCATGAATGTCAGCTTCATGTTTCATTCAGCAAGTGGCAGCCAGTCTGAGTGAAAAATGTTTGCATTTTACTCTAATATTGTGTAAAACAGTTACTGATGATTCACACTGGAAATGGATGGTGAAGCACAGTAAACACTCAGCATTCTGCAAAAGTAGCATTATAGAATGCCATTCTGATCCAAAATCGTGGAAATCATTCATAGTTATGATTTTCTGTCGCTGTCAAATCAACTTATAACAAAATAAAAACACATTCTTGTTCTTGCATGTTCTTATTTCTTAAAAAACAAAAACAACTTCTGCTTTCATGAGCGAAGAGGAACTGTTTTTTGAAGAACCTCTGTTATAGGAACACTAACAAACCAGACCAGTTCAAAATTAGGTACACCGTTCATATACTAATTTATTAAAATTAACAGACTGCAACCTTTTTTGTTATAAGGTCATATTAATCTGTCATTAGTTTGAATTACTTTTCAAGTGCCTTTTAACCTCAAAATATGAAAAGCCATTGTTATTTTGATTGTACACAGATTACGACTGTCAGTTGTGATGACATTTTCACCACAGTCAGCAATTTTTCCACTAATATACTGTATGCAGCACAACTGTTAACCTCAATAATAAGAAATTCTGAATACTAAGAATGATTTCTGAAGGATCATGTGACACCGAAGACTGGAGTAATGGTGCTGAAATTCAGCTTCGCATCACAGCATGCAGTTATTTTAATTTGTAATAATATTTATTACTGGTTTTACTGTAATTATAATAATGAAGCCTTGGTGAGCATAAAAGACATTCAAAAACATTAAAACATCTTACTGACCCCAATGTTTTGAACAGTAGCAATGAAGCAATGAAAAATCAAGGTAAATGTCATCTGTGAGCAATGTGTCATTTTCAATCAAGCTGTAATTTTGTCCAATTATTGAAAAAGCATGAAAATATATGTCATTGTGTACGTTTTGGATACATAGATGCTGGTAATGAAATTAACCATAGCAAGACAAAAGAATGAGTCAGTCCAAAAATGTGTCAAATGTCATTTCCAAATCATAATTCTATTAAACAATTTCACATGTGGTGCACATGATATGGCTAAAAATGGCAGAATTCTGTATGGATATGCACTCTTGGAACAAATTAAATAAATGAAAACTGTATTAAAGTCAGCATGACCAAATATACCCATATTTAAAGAAATACTCCTGAGAATCTCGAGTCAGAACACATCGTAACAGAGCAGAACATACCGTACTTATAACAGTGAAGCTCAAAAAACTCTTCCACTGTCTCCAACATTGCTTTCTCACAAACTCTCTCTTCTACTTTCATTTACTCTCTCTCTTTCACACTCCGTTCACCATGAGCTTGGAGACTGTTATTATTGAAGTGTCTTGTCCACACAGCTCTGAGGGGAATAAATGGGCAGTTTGGCTCCACTGATAAACCCAGAGAGAGAATGAGTCGGCTCTGAAGCCTTCCAGAAGAATCTAAGACATGGACGAGCATCTTAGCTCAACAACAAAACTGATTATCAAACTGCTGTTGTCATGAACTCTGGGAAATGCAGCTCCACATAAATGAGAAATGCTTGAGAAACCACACGCTCAGGCAGAAATACTGCTGACAGCTGTAATTTAACATGTCAAAGCGAACGCGTCAAATAACGAACTGCATATTTGCACATGCAACGCTGGATAGTGCTGATTAGAGCTTTTGTTTACCCTGAAGCATGAAGAGACATTATGCCATTAAAACCTTAGGATGTGTACATTTGTAAATTCAACATATATATATATATATATATATATATATATACTTTTTATATATACATTATCTATACACACATTATTAAGTCTCTTATGTGCATATATATATATATATATATATAAAGTAAAATTGTGAAATATTATTAAAATTTAAATGACTATTTATTTTCTATTTTATTTCACTATATTTCAAAATGTAATTGATTCTTGTGATGCAAAGCTGAATTTTCAGCATCATTATTCCAGTCTTCAGTGTCACATGATCCTTCAGAAATCATTGTAATCATTGAAATCATTGCTGATTTGCTGCTTAAGAAATATTTCTTATTATCAAAGTTGAAAACAGATTTTACTGTTTCAAAATTTATAATTTATAAGAAATGTTTCTTGAGCAGCAAATCAGCATATTACAATGATTTCTGACGAATCATAAGACACTGAAGACTGGAGTCATGGCTGCTGAAAATTCAGATTTTCATTACAGGAATAAATTACATTTGAAAACATACTGAAAAAGAAAACAGTCATTTTATGTTGTAATAATATTTGGCTGTTTTTACAGTCATTTTGATCAAATAAAGCACCTTGATCAGCATAGGAGCGTCACCTATATGTAATGACACCTATGCCTCAGTAAACCAAACTAAACACTAACACACAAACACAATGTATTGATTAAGCTATTAGCTGCCACTCACATGAGAAGTGAGACGTAACTTCCAGACAGAGAGGCATTTGTGCTTGAAGTCAGTAAACTGTACATACACGTGCACACACACACACACACACATCAATATAAACAGACTAACAACAGCAACACAGAGAGATGTCCATCAAACTGTGTTATCAGTAAACTGAGGCAGACGGACACAAAAGCCTCAGAGCCATGCTGTGCCAGGAATGAGGTGGCACTGCCTACTGCCTCAGCCAAACAAAAAGCACAGATAACACACAAATACTGGACAACAGACACTCGAGCACTGAGATGCAGGAAGAGAGACAAGTTAGGACAAATGAACTGGAAGAGAGAGGCTGAGAAAGACTTTAGCACAGAAGAGTAAAACTGAAGCAAAGAGATTCAGGAACACAGACAGACAGATGAAAAGCATTCCTTCAATGTAGGCTACTACTGACCCACATTATATAGAGAGACACTTAGTCGTTATTTGAACGCTCACACAGACTCATATTTTACCTACTAAAGGATAGAAGGTAAGGAAAAAGTGCTCTTCACTACTCCCATAGTGTATGATTGAAGGAAAACATTTTTTTTATTGAACATTGATGAAGCACCATATTTTGTGTGAAAATAAATCATAAACATGATTTGTTTTGCTTAAAAATCTTATAAATGACAGATAAACCTAGTATTGATACAAATACTTCAGCTAAAGTAATACTGTACGTTTTACATAATGTGTACAGTTTCTACTTGTGCAAAACAATCAATTCAGCAAAGTTTATACTATTTTCTGTTTATTTTTGATCATCTTTTGATCATTTATTCTTGAAGCAGATACCCTAATCATTTAATATGGTTTTAATACATATGATGATATGATTCCCTTACGAAAGGGAACTCAGCGCTGCGTCCTCTAGAGGGCGCTAGGGGAACGCCTCCAGCGTGACCGGTGTCTGAAGCATGAATGAAAAAACGACAATGAACTTGACATTGGCAGGCGGAAGCCTATGACGTAAGCAAATGAGCGACTGCGGGTATAAAAGGAGCACCTGTGGAATACGTCATCCTCTTTTTTGTCTTCAGGGATCCTTGTTTCTGGAGTGTGATTTGGTAAAAACCTGCCCCGCGTATGATGAGCTGTTGGAGGTTATGGATCGCGCCACTGCGAGGTTAGATCTGCAGTGGAGGCACGAGAAAGGGGAAATTGTTCGTGGCAGATTTGATGAGCGATTTCTTTCTGGACATAACAGCCCAGCTCCCGTGAGCCTCCCATTCCTTCCAGATATCCATATTGAGATCAAGAAGGCATGGGATAAACCATATTCAGCCCGCATCCATCAGTACCAGCATAATTCTAATTATGTTAACATCGAGGGGATGCGTGCTCTCGGTTTAAGAGAGTCATTCTGCTGAAGCCTCCACTTTGCATAGCTCCGCTTAGGCAGTATTAATGTGTAGGCTCTTGAGCCTCACTAACTGCCCCTGGCGTTGAGTGTAGCCAGGTCTCCTCTCATTCTAGAGAGTCGTTATGCTGAGACCTTCCACTCTTAGAGTTCCGACTTTGGTAGGTGAGCTAGTCTACGACGCTGGCGAGTTTTTGAGCCTGCCTGTAGAGGTTTGTGGCTCGTGTCCTGGCAAAAGCGATTTGGGTGGGGCAGGGATGGTGTTCCTTGGGTCCTTGACTTAAGTTCCCTTTCGAAAGGGAACGTCTCAGGTTACGCATGTAACCATGGTCCCTGAGAACAGGGAACGAGACGCTGCGTCTCATTGCCATGCTTCGGGCGTCATACCTGTGCCTCCTCAGACAAAAAAGAGGATGACGTATTCCACAGGTGCTCCTTTTATACCCGCAGTCGCTCATTTGCTTATGTCATAGGCTTCTGCCTGCCAATGTCAAGTTCATTGTCGTTTTTTCATTCATGCTTCAGACACCGGTCACGCTGGAGGCGTTCCCCTAGCGCCCTCTAGAGGACGCAGCGTCTCGTTCCCTGTTCTCAGGGAACCATGGTTACATGCATAACCTGAGATGTTTTATCATAAGATATGATTAATATCATATTTTAACTATGATGGTTTCATAATAAATATGGTGATTCTCTAAGTTGGACACCCATCTTAATAAATGATATTAATCATCTGATTTTTATTTTTTTTATCCCAAATATCATACTTTTACATATTCTTCAGTCACTAAAAAAAAAAAAAAATAAAAATATTAACAAGTCGTTTGTCTCAAAATATATTCATAGTAATTTTGTTGGTTCTTACTTGCTACATAAATCTATAACATTTTAAAAAACAATAAATATTAGATCAAATTAGCACAGAATTGTGCTTGCGATTGCATCAAGGATCAGCTAAATGGACCAGACAAAATTCATTAATTCAAACTGTTTACAGTTATATAACAACATAGATCATCAGGCTATATTT